ACTAGTAGAGTGAATGAATAAATTGCCAGTCTCACAATGGAATACTATATGGCAATGAAAAGGACAGTGTTAGTTCTACGTTACATTACACACAATGATGATGAGCCTGATATAAAAGAATATGCACCAGGGCGCCAGGCTGGCTCAGTTGGAAGAACATGTGAACATGTGACTCAGTCTCAGGGTTGTGAGTTCCAGCCCTGTGCTGGGTATACAGCTTACTTAAATGAATGAACTTAAAAAAAAAAAAAAAAAAAAGACTATGTACTGCATGATATCATTTCTGTTAAGTCAAAAAAAAGGCAAAATCATGATGTTAGAAGTCAAGATGGTTGGAGGGGCAGAGGAGAAAGGGAGCTGGTGCCTGGGGGCCCCGAGAAAAGTGCTGCAGAGGGGCTGGCAATGGCTTATTTCATGGTCTGAGTAGTTAAGAGGAGGAGTGAATGTGACCCATTGGCCAAGCTGCACACTTATAATTTATGCAATTTTCAGGACATATACCACCTTAAATTATAAAGTATTAAAAATTAAAAAATTTTTTTTTCAACGTTTATTTATTTTTGGGACAGAGGGAGACAGAGCATGAACGGGGAGGGGCAGAGAGAGAGGGAGACACAGAATCGGAAACAGGCTCCAGGCTCTGAGCCATCAACCCAGAGCCTGACGCAGGGCTCGAACTCAAGGACCGCGAGATTGTGACCTGGCTGAAGTCGGACGCTTAAATGACTGCGCCACCCAGGCGCCCCAAGTATTAAAAATTTTAAAGAGAGAGAAAGGCTTAAGAGAGTTTTCAATCAAATGCAACATTTGGACCTTGTTTAGCTTCTGATATGAACAAACTAACTCTAAAAGTATATTAAAAATGTTTTTTAGGGGCGCCTGGGTGGCTCAGTCGGTTAAGCGGCCGACTTCGGCTCAGGTCATGATCTCGCGGTCCGTGAGTTCGAGCCCTGCGTCGGGCTCTGAGCTGTCAGTGCAGAGCCCAATGTGGGGCTCAAACCCATGAACCACGAGATCATGATCTGAAGCAAAGTTGGACACCTAACGCACTGAGCCACTCAGGTGCCCCTAAAAGTACATTTTTGAAACATTTAGGGAAACATTGGGTATTTTTGGCCTAGGTATTAAAACAGGACTCTTAAAAAATTCAACATACTTATGTGGGTAGCTTTTCTACTTAAAGAAGAAAAAGTATAGTAACACCATTATACATTTTTTTTTCAAAGTACAAAAAACTTACAGAACCAGAGCTATTTCCTAGATAAGGCAAACTGAGGTATACAGATAACTATCAGTAACCATTTCCTGAGCACCTAATACATGCCAGGTCATATACCAAGTGCTTTATGCCAAAGCCCATTTCCTTCTTCGTCATGTTGTCGCACCTACCCCTCACTGTGCCATGGTGGAGTTTCAGAACGAAGTACCAACACAACTGTGTTTCTAAGGAAAAATGGTTCAATGTCATATAGTTAGAAGGAAACTCGGTAACTTGAGGAAAATATTTTGTCATCCCATCTTCCATCTCCAGCCAGTCACAAAAGTGATACTGCGGGATGTAAACCAGGGGGAATTCTAGAACTGCAATATTAACACTAAACTGAGGATGATCTAATGTTTGAAAATCCTGAAAGGAACCTTTTAGTAACTGTGGGGCCAATGTCCTAAACATCAGGTATAACTATAATGGGTATGTGCTTTACATAGAACGTTCCTTACTAAAGCACTGAAAAACAAAGTTTGCTGATTTGGTAGGACTGAGGCGGGATGATGCCTTTTTCATCTTTCCCTGTCCTCACACAAGAACGGAAAATAGCTCTCCTTCTGTAATGAGGACAGAGTTTCTGAGATGCCTGTACAACTGCATGAGCAGCAGGGGAAAACCAGCCCCTTTGATGCACCGGGAAATATGCTGGGTGCTTAATACACATAACCTCATCCAATCCTCACAGAGCTTCATGAGCTAGGCAGTATTTTCCCGTTTTGTATGGGAAAGGAGGCTTAGCTTGGAATAACCTCCACAAGGTCACCCAGTTGGGCAAAGGAGGTCCGTGGCCCAGGCCTGAGACTATAAAGCAGAAGTGCTACACAGGACACTAGGTTGCCTTCAAGGCAGGCAACACGGCACGGGGACCTCAGCTGTGACAATACTTCTACCTGGGGATAGCATCCCTTTTGTAAAATAAATAAGCTATGTCTGTCTGTCCAGGAACAGGATTATCCTTTGTTTTCCAAAATGAGAGGTAAACAGCATTTTTAGGGGGTTGGTGGGGGGGGG